TCTTTTTCAGCCTTAATTTACTCTTATAATTTTATTCTTCCAACACACGGTCAATAAATTCTGTCCATATTTTCTATGTGAAAAGTCTACTGTATATGACCAGAAGAATTCTAGACTGGCAGTAGACAGAGAGCCAGAGTTAATTTTCAAGCATGTGTGTATGTGAAAGGAGCTCTGAAGGGCTTAGCACTGAGCTGCTAACCGGAAGTGGTTAGCAGTTCAAAACCACCAGTTGCTTCACAGGAGAAAGATGAGGCTGTCTGCTCCCATAAAGATTTAAAGTCTCTGAAACCTCAAGGTGAAGTTCTACAAGGTCTAGAGGGTCACTATGAGTCAGAGTCAACTTGACGGCCCTAATGGTTTTTTGCCTTGATATGTGTGCATTGAAGTTCACACAAATACATAATGACAGTTTACGTATTACCAAATTTTATTTGATTGAAAGCTTTCTTATTATACGTAAAATGTTTTGTGTAGTTGATCTTAGCCTTGTGCATGCTGATTTTAATGAGTTGTCATTTTCTCTGCTCCAGACTGCTCAATTGCTGCTGTTGCCATTGTCTTGTATAACTATACCAAAATGAAGCCAGCACACGAAGGCCACCAAGTAAACCCTGGTGGCTCTGTCGGTTAGATGTTGGGCTGCTGACCACAACATCATCAATTCAAACCCACCAGTTGCTTTGTGGGAGAAAGATGAGGCTGTCTGCTTCGGTAAATGGAATCCCTGTATGAATCAGGATTCCTGTAAATGGACTCACTATGAATCAGGGTTAACTTGATGGCAATGGATTTGTGTTTTGGTTTGCTCCCATATTAAGGAGTCCAGTGGTATAATGGGTTAAGAGTTGGGTTCCTTAACCAAAAGGTCAGGGGGGTTGAGTCTACCAGCCATTGGGCAGTCTGCTTCCATAAAGATTTACAGACTCCAAAACTTTATGGAGTTGTTTATTTCTGCCCTATAGGAAGCCCTGGTGGTCGTATTGGACTTCTAAATGCAAAGTTTGTAGTTTGAACCTACCAGGTTGTCTTCTCCAGTAAAGATTTGACTAGATGGCTGGAATTGACGAGAAGGCAGTGGGTGTTAGTTTATTAGAATCACATCTTTTGAGACACAGTGTGGGAATTGCACCCAATCTGATCCCACCACACCGAGGCAAAACACTAAGGGGGTGCAACAGAACAGCAAGGGAACAGTGCAGTGAGGTCCCCAGGGAATGCTGAAGGTGGACTTTGGGGCCAGGGCATGATGCCCCAAAAGACTGGACTGGAAAACACCCCTAAAGGCCAACAAACAATCCTTGAACTAACTACAAGCTTTTCTCTCTTGTGTTTTGTTTTGTTTTTGTCATTGGTGTGTTGTTGTTGTTGTATATTGTTGCTTGGTTTTGCTCTGTCTTGTTTTTAGCATGTTATTATCTCCGCAGGCCTGTCTAAATAAGATAGGCTGGATGAACAATCTGGAGGAGAAAACAACGAGACCGACAGTTACAGGGGGGACATGGGAGAGGGGGAGGTAGGGAGAAAGGTAGTGATGTTAACAAACTCAGGGACAAGGGACCAACAAGTGATCCAAATCGGTGGTGAGAAGGGTGTGGGAGGCCTGTTAGGGCATGATCAAGGGTAATGTAACAAAGAAGAATTGCTGAAACCCTGGTGGGGACTGACCATGATAGTGGGACAGGAGGAAAGTCAAAGGAAATAGAGGAAAGAGTTGGGAGGCAAAGGGCATTTATAGAGGTCTAGATAAAGACGTGTACATATGCAAATACATTTATATATGAGGATGGGGAAATAGATCTATGTGCATATATTTGTAGGTTTAGTATTGAGGCAGCAGAAAGACATTGGACCTCCACTCAAGTACTCCCTCAATGCAAGAACACTTTATTCTATTAAATTCACATTCTATGATGCTCACCTTCCCAACACTACTGCTGAAGACAAAGCAGGTGAATAAGCAAATGTGGTGAAGAAAGCTGATGGTGCCCGGCTATCAAAAGATATAGCGTCTGGAGTCTTAAAGGCTTGAAGGTAAACAAGCAGCCATCTAGCTCAGAAGCAACAAAGCCCACATGGAAGAAGCACACCAGCCTGTGCGATCATGAGGTGTCAAAGGGATCAGGTATCAGGCATCATCAGAACAAAAAATCTTACTATAGTGAATGAGGGGGGGAGTGCAGAGTGGAGACGCAAAGCCCATTTGTAGGCCACTGGACATCCCCTGGCAGAGGGGTCTCGGGGAGGAGACGAGCCAGTCAGCGTGTGATGTAGCAACGATGAAAAATACAACTTTCCTCTAGTTCTTAAATGCTTCCTCCTCCCCCACTATCATGATCCCAATTCTACCTTACAAGTCTGGCTAGACCAGAGGATGTACACTGATACAGATAGGAACTGGAAACACAGGGAATCCAGGGTGGATGATCCCTTCAGGACCAGTGGTGTGAGTGGCGATATCAGGAGGGTGGAGGGAGGGTGGGTTGGAAAGGGGGAACCAATTATAAGGATCTACATATAACCTCCTCCCTGGGGGATGGACAACAGAAAAGTGGGTAAAGGGAGATATCGGACAGGGCAAGCTATGACAAAATAATAATTTATAAATTATCAAGGGTTCATGAGGGAGGGGGGAGGGGGGAGGAATGGAAAAAATGAGAACCTGATGCCGGGGGCTTAAGTGGAGAGCAAATGTTTTGAGAATGACGAGGGCAATGAATGTATAAATGTGCTTTACACAATTGATGTATGTATGGCTTGTGATAAGAGTTGTATGAGCCCCTAATAAAATGATTTTAAAAAAGAATCACATGATCTTTTAATTGTACCTTCTCCTTCTCAGGTTCACTATGCCCCAGGTTCTCAGTCATGGCAGCAAGTCAGTACCTCTTGCCCAACTGACTGCTATCATAACAGAGCAAGCAATCTGTACCATCATCATCAATGCATTCAAAAGTCCAAGGGTTTCTATGGTTATTTAAGGATTATCCCAAGTCCATACAAAGACATTTAATGATGACCAACTCTATAGGAGACCTTGGGGGGACACAAGTGGTTAAGCTAAAAGGTTACCAGTACAAACCCCTGCAGAGGTTTCTCAGAATACAAGCCTGGGAATCTACTTCTGAGAGGAAGCATTAAAAAAAACACCTACGTAAACTCTGTACACATGTGGTCCCCATGAGTTAGAATCCACCTGACAGCAAACAACCACCCTATCATGGAAGTTTATATTGGTTCTCCCTCCGCTGCTTCACTCTCCTTGTGCTACTCTTATAGCTTGCATTGCTCTTCAGAATAAAGCACCAGCAGGGAAGCTTTTTGCCTTTGGCTGTGATGTGCAGCCACCCCCAGTTTGTCAGCTGGCTAAACTGTGATGGCTGGCATGTTGCTGGGATGATGAAAGCTATGTCACCAGTATTTCAAATACCAACAAGGTCACCCAAGGTAAACAGGTTTCAGCTTAGCTGTCTAAGAACAGATTACCCCAAAAAAAGGGATAGTTTGCCCATTCCTAAGTGATTGGCCACTGAAAATCTTATGAATTGCAATATTATCATATAGAACAGCGGTTCTCAACCTGTGGGTCACGACTGCTTTTGGGGCTGAGTGACCCTTTCACAAGGGTTGCCTAAGACCATCGGAAAACACATATTTCCGATGGTCTTAGGAACCAAGACACTGCTTGCTCCTCTTCTGTCTCCAGGAGGGTCTGCCCACATGCAGATACACCTACATACGAGTACCCGACATGATGACATCATCACGCCAACCCCATCACTTACACCCCATACAAATACAGGTGCATGTGACAGGGTTGGTGCCATAATGTACTTATGTGGACCAGTCACACGTGTAGAGAGCAGCTAGTATGGTACAAAAAGCGACTGCTGTGTTGAAAGCAGCTACTCTGTTCAAAGCAGCTACTGTGGGAAGAGACGAGCCAGTCAGGTGCAGGATCGCCCCGACAAAGCACACAACTTTCCTCTGCTTCCTTGGTGCTTCCCCCCACTATCATGACCCCAATTCTACCTGACAAATCAGATCGGACCAGAACATGCACACTGCGACAGATAAGAGCCCGCAACACAGGGCATCCAGGATAATAAACCCCTCGGGGCCAACAAGGAGAGTAGAAATACCAAGAGGATTAGGGGAGGGT